GAAAGAAACACTTTAATTTGTCCTTAAAAAATGTTTATTTCTGTTACGCTTTTGTTTTAAAAAAATAAAAAAATTCCATGTGATGGAATACAATACAAAATAAGTTTTACTGGAAACATTTTTTGATATTCCATACTTTTTGGACACCCTGTAACAGAGATCATTATCAAAGAGTACTAATGTCTGTGGCCGCATACTGGCTATAAAACAAGCATAATCAGCTGCATATGCATAGTCGATTTTTGGTAAAAAAGGAAGGTTATAGCCTGCCTTTTTTTTCGGGCCTCAAAAAAAATTGTCTCAGATCGACTAGTGCAAAAGTTACAGCCCTTTGAATTTTCTTTCGAAATTGGTTTGTTGTCTATAACTTTTGATTGAGAAGTCTGATCGAGAAAGTACGAATTGTTTTGGATTCTACGCACCAAAATTAATTAGAAAAAGTGTTTTCCCAAGAAATTTTGGTGCTGTCGATTTTTGGTAAAAAAGGAAGCCTTTATTTCGGGCCTCAAAAAAAATTGTCTCAGATCGACCCGGAAAAAAATTTTCTTATAGAACGTGGCCTGTAAAATCCATAATTTCAAACAGTTCCAAGATTGGGCTACTAGTTCAAAAGTTACAGCCCTTTGAATTTTCTTTCGAAATTGGTTTCCAGTCTATAACTTTTGATTGAGAAGTCTGATCGAAAAAGTACGAATTGTTTTGGATTCTACGCACCAAAATTAATAAGAAAAAGTGTTTTCCCGAGAAATTTTGGTGCAGTCGATTTTTGGAAAAAAGGAAGGTTATACACTGCCTTTTTTTTGCCCCGAAAAAAAAATTGTCAGATCGTCCCGGAAAAAAATTTTTCTTATAGAACGTGGCCTGTAGAAACCATCATTTCAAGCAGTTCCAAGATTGGGCTACTAGTTCAAAAGTTACAGCCCTTTGAATTTTCTTTCGAAATTGGTTTCTAGTCTATAACTTTTGATTGAGAAGCCTGATCGAAAAAGTACGAATTGTTTTGGATTCTACGCACCAAAATTAATAAGAAAAAGTGTTTTCCCGAGAAATTTTGGTGCAGTCGATTTTTGGTAAAAAAAGAAGGTTATACACTGCCTTTTTTTGAGCCCCGAAAAAAAAAATGGTCTCAGATCGACCCGGAAAAAAAATTTTCTTATAGAATGTGGCCTGTAGAATCCATAATTTCAAACAGTTCCAAGATTGGGCTACTACTTCAAAAGTTACAGCCCGTTGAATTTTCCGTCGAAATTGTTTTCTAGTCCATAACTTTTGATTGAGAGTCCAATCGAAAAAGTATGAATTGTTTTGGATTCTACGCACCAAAATTAATAAGAAAATGTGTTAAATTTTCTTATAGAATGTGGCTTGTAGAATCCATAATTTGAAACAGTTCCAAGATTGGGCTACTAGTTCAAAAGCTACAGCCCTTTGAATTTTCTTTCGAAATTGGTTTCTAGTCTATAACTTTTGATGGAGAAGTCTGATCGAAAAAGTACGAATTGTTTTGGATTCTACGCACCAAAATTAATAAGAAAAAGTGTTTCCCCAGAAATTTTTGTGCAGTCGATTTTTGGTAAAAAAGGAAGGTTATACACTGACTTTTTATGAGGCCCGAATAAAAAATTGTCTCAGATCGACCCGGAAAAAAATTTTTCTTATAGAATGTGGCCTGTAGAATCCATAATTTCAAACAGTTTAAAGATTGGGATACTACTTCAAAAGTTACAGCCCGTTGAATTTTCCTTCGAAATTGTTTTCTAGTCCATAACTTTTAATTGAGAGGTCCAATCGAAAAAGTACGAATTGTTTTGAGTTCTAGGCACCAAAATTAATAGGAAAAAGTGTTTTCCTGAGAAATTTTGGTGCAGTCGATTTTTGGTAAAAACAAGTACTTTGCGAAGTATTCGAATACTAAATATTTGTGAAAGTATTTGAGTTACAAATACAAATACTTCTTCCATAAAAGTATTTAATTACAAAGTATTTGAATACTTTAAAGGATTTGAATACTAAAAACTATTTACAAAATCGAATACTGCCCAGCTCTGCTTGTTGGTTGTAATAATTAAAATGTATAGACCATGAACTGAACGTTGAAACTTTATAGCATCGTGCATTTTTTAGAGCCAAAGTCGAGTCAAGTAATATTAAAAATTACGAAGCGTTTGATGGAGGACTGATGATGACGCCATTTCAATGTAATTAAGGGTGCAGATGAAGTAATATTATATTCAGTGGCTGTCTATATCGATCGTTATAAAAATGGTGTCAGTGTACAATACTAAAAGAGCACCAAAATCCCTCTGGTCAAATACAACGTCAAATTTTCTGACATTCATTCACAAGTACTATACAGGCTGATTCAAATTCGAGGGCAGTAGTTGGAATGTATGTTATAGGCTATCTATTAGAAAAAACTTCTAGGATTCTAGGACAATTTGGACTGCTGATTTTAGTGCTACTGCGAGAAAGGTTTTGGAAACGGGTGCGTTTTTTCGTTTACAGCTACTGCAGCGGAAAGTTCACATTACATGGTAATTTTACTGGTGGGAATGTCAACAAACATGACGTCTCCGAAACTACCGCCTTCTCCTGCTAGAAATTTAGATTAAGTCATTAAGTCCTTAAGTGTGGACCAGCAATCTCTCAATTCGCCCTACGACGTAAAAACCATCTCCCTCCATTATTTAGGCTCGTGAACATATTCTCACGAGGCAGCTGACAATAACATCCAGTCCCCATTGCAGCCGGGCTGGTATTATGCCGTCCAATCCTGGTGATTTGTATGCTGAGAACCATTGATCAACCTCGCAACATCCACATCTGGATATCTGTGGGAACGAAGGGTGCTACCTCAGGACAGTTGGGCTATGGCGCGGTGGTGACTCCGAGAAAGTGAGCGTCTCTCAGTGTCTCGTCTGCCGCCGAAAGGTTGTTCGTGTAAGAACCATCCTTTCATCTCAGGCTAGCTGGGCTATAAAATAAACTTTTCGTTTAGATTGTATTTAGACGGGATGCAGAGGAGGTGGAGCTACTCTTCCATGCCCCCCCCCCTCTGACTCCAGGATCTTGTCTAAAAGTTTCGATACAATGAGCCTCGCGTTGCAATATCGCCGTTTAATGCCTGCCCTGTTGTCTCGTAATTTTGGTTGGAGATACTGGATTAATCTGGCCGCCTCCCCTTCCACGTGGCTCTTCAGGTAGTGCATCCTTTCCGTATTCGACAGCGACATTCGAGTGGATCAATTTGAGAAACAAATCGTGGAATAGCGTCCAATTTTCATACACCGTTCTAAAAATGGGAATTTGTATTGTTGGTAATTTTACCTTTTTCGGGCTGGCGTGTGCTTCCACATCGATCAGTCCCCGAATCCTCTCATAGCGTTCTTGGAACTCCCCGTGTTTCCAGTCCGTGAAATACGCGTAGGAGAATTTTCCTTCATATGCCTGGAATTCTATCTTCTCTTTACGTCCTACTTTCTTTCGGCTCGGCCAATCATCCTTACGGCTTTCTTCATATTTTGGGGTGACACCAATTGTTCTTCTATCTGTGTTAAAAGCGTATCAAATTGTTTCTTAATCCGAATAAGCTGTTCGGAACCTTTTTCATCAACCTTCTCCTCCATGCCCAGATCGCGTTCCCAGTTGTCAAGGAGCTCGACAGCCTGATTGTACACCTGGTAGATTTGCTCCATGTAGTTATCCTGGTGGTATTGGTGGTCTTTAATATTTAATTCGCTTTTCTTGTGCGTCTGCTGGACTTTTTTTGGTATATACGTCCAGCTGCTCCCGTTTTGATGTGATATATCTTGTGATCTTCCTGTTTGTGGGGTCCTTTTTTCATCACCGCATTACACGAGCCCACACGGGGAGACTTGATGGCGCCAAATCTAAAATATTGTGTTAAGGTGCCTAGAAGTTGTGCGCAAAGTGGTATATACTAATCATTAAGTGCAAGGTTCTGACATTTGAAATAGTAACTTTCGTTTTAAATGTTTCTGTGTTTAGAAATAAACTTACTTACAAAAATTGTTTTTTTAAACACTTCTCATCCTTACTATTTTTACTAACTGTAAAAAAAGCAAAAAATAATAATTATAATTTTGTTTAATAATTTCAGTGTGCCGCCAGACAAAAAAGTTTGAGAAACACTGGCCTAAGGCAACAGCAGCCGCCCTACAGTGTTCCTGGCACAACTTTTGGCAGCCAAAACACCTCAAAATGTTCGGACTTTTTTCAGTTTTTCGCTTAAAACTCGAAAACGGTCCATATTTTATGAATCGGACGTCTTTAGTAAATTAAAGAAAACACAATCCTGCGTCGATCAAAAGATTAACAAACAAAATCGGTTCAATAGAAAAATGTTTACAAGCGATCAAAGAAATCCCGTAAGCTCCCCGTCAATTCCTGGAGATCCACGGAAATGCCTGAAATCGGAGAAAATTCCTTATAAATCCCCAGAAATCCTTTCGAAATCTTCTTAAATTCCTCCCCATACTTGCTTTTGACACTCCATTCAAATACTTTACTACCGCCGCTTTCATATAGAAAAACCTACGCTTCGTCACGCACCTTCTCAAAGGTATTATAAATTAATAACAATATTTGCGATTGTTAATTTCAAATACTGCGTGGCAATATTGAGTAAAACAAATAGAAGCTAAAGTTTATTTTTGAAAGATCAAAAGAAAGCTATTTCAGTGACAAAATGCAATTGGAAGGTAGACAAGGAAAGTCAGATTTTGACTTTTTCCATGTGAGAATGAAAATTAATTTAGAACACAATCTCATTGTTCACATGTCATATTTATCAGGAACGACTTCATTCGGTACCGAAAAACAATATTATTGAAAGGTAAAAGTGACCGCACGTGCAGATAAGCGCATCAGGCGATTAATCTCTACCTACTTACGTTACCGCCCCTCCATATCAAAAATATACCTTATGACCAAATCATTCGATCGTGTTAACGCGAAGTGCAGTGCATATTGTGCGGAATGGTTTCCAAAATTTTCAAATGGTTCGAAGGAGAGTTCCTAGTACCGAAAACAAGAAAGCTAAGGGTGAATTTTAACAAGCACAGATTAGGTACCGCGTAAAATGCAGTAAGTAATTTGTATTTTTACATTTAAACATTGGGCATACAATGCAAAATGATTTTGGACAATAGGTAAAGTGTGACTAAATATTGTGTATGGAAATTTATCTCCACACATGTAACTGCCGTTAGTTTTAATCAATCATTCTCCTAATTAAAATTTATACACGACAAATACAATCATCTTATCTATTCAAGTTAATTAGAAACACATGTGTAGTCCATTGCGTCGGCCGCGTCGGTATTTTAAACAGGTGTTTAGAAATCTGTTGATAATTTCATTCTTAACAAAAACCACATTACCTTTAATAGCTTTAATAATAATTATTGTCGCAGAGTTTACTAATTTTGAATTAATTTGATATGAGTGAACTAGATATCTTTCCAAAATGAAATCTTGAAATCGAAACACATGCGAATCAAGATTGTTGTGTCACCTCATGCCTAAAACTGTACGAAAAGGGTGAGTAGGAATTTCATTCTTTTTCTCTGTATTAATCTTAAAATCCGGGTCCTTAATAGAGGCATTTAATTGGTCCAAAAATTCATTCAATATATCAACGTATTCACAAACTTCTTTAGGGTTCAAGAATCGAAAAGTGGATTTCCATTTTTCGCATTTTCAGATCAGATAATTTTGTCTTGAACTTGTATTATTACCTCTTGCATGAGTGTTTAATGGTATTTGCAACCATGACAAATGGAACGATTGAACTTACGGCTATACCCAGGTTTCGGGCATGCCTTTCTGATCTGTAAAACTCCTACCTCAAATGACGTCCCAGGGATGTGGTAAAACTCGTTAGAAATTCTGTAGAAAATTCAAATTCTTTAGCCCATTGCGTAAAAACGTGGTTTGGGTAAGTGTAACGGTTTTAGAGATGTTTTAAATTTCGGGTACTATTTATCCAACCAAGTTCATTAAATTTGATATGAAAATTAACTAAAAATACTGTAGTTGAAGCGTGTTAGTTAAGGAAATTATTATGGTGGCAACGCAACCACAAACGATGTCATTTGGGAATACAAGTTTTGGTGTGTTTTTTTAAAGATAGAAATAACTTGAAATAATGTAGAAGGTCGAAAATGTCCAAAATCATTAGTAACTTGAACAAAAGACGCGGTTTTGGTAAGCATTACACCCAAAACAATGTTCTTAGGGACTTTACAAGTTTGGGGTTGCTGTTACAATTTATATGAAAATGAAATACACTTTCGCTTGCCAATTATTAGATGAGGGGCAAGGCGAACTGGCCTTTACGGCTTAAACGTCACAAATGCCGCTGCTTAGTAGCATGAGGGCATCAGTTGCAGTGAAAGGGTGGTGTTGGGAGCGCCATTCAAGCAATTTGAATGAGTCTTGTTCATTCCGGCTCATTCAATAATTTCCAACAAATTTCAAAAATTGATCCAATTTTAAATTTTTAGTAGTTTTTGAGCTCGGATGTCCTACAATCTTTAGGAAAGGGGTAGTGAATTTTATCGTTCCTTTAGGAGCCACAACGCATTAAAAAAAAGGTTAACTCAGTTTTTTAGAAAAGTTTTTAACAATTATTTATTGGACCGATGTTGTTTGTTCATCCTTTGATCGACGCAGGATTTTGTTTTCTTTTTTATTAAAGAAGTGTTATTCATACCGTTTTCGGGTTTTAAGCGAAAAACTGAAAAAAGTCCAAACATTTTCAGGTTTTTTGGCTGCCAAAAGTTGTGCCGGGAAAAAATTGGTGTGCTCTGTTCAAATTCAGTTATTTGAACCCAACTGGACCATTTAAAATAATAAAATCTTTCACACCACCTTTTGCAGGTCAAAATTATCTGCATACTGAACTATATCTCAATCTTGAATGAAAGTGACCGTTAAAATGATGCTAGTTCATTTTATTTTTGGGGTAGTTTATTATTTATTAACGTGCGAAAGCGAAACATTGTTTTCCAATCAAATCAAAAAAGTAATACCCTTTTACGCTAATCCATTGCCGAGGAAAGTACGTAGATAAGCTTCCCCTTTATATATTATGGCTTTATATAGACAATCCTGCTGCTCAGGGTAGAAATTGATACGTCTCCAAATGGTAGTAGCGGAATTTTTCAACCTAAAAATATGAAAACAGTTCGGAAATAATAACACTTTCAATTATATGTGTAATTGTCTTGCTTATTAATACATCCGGATCGTAATGTAGAGGATATAATTAAGTTTCGGTGGAGAAGGTATCGATTTTGTGCCTTTTCAATATTCTCTTTGAAAGTCTTCTTCCTTTATATTAGTTGACGTACCTATATAATCAAGCCATACACTTAGATTGATAGAATTTTCATGTTAAAAATGTTCATAGTCTGGTAATAGAGAACAACATTATAATGTCGCCGAGCAACGTTCCTACTCTTAGAAATAGCTCTTTATTGGCGGCTCAAATGGTAATTGTACTTCATTACGAATGCAAATTATATATTACAGTACAGCTTCAGATACAATGAGCGGTTACACAACAACATGACAAAGGGTAGATTCCAAACAATTAATTAAACTTTTCTCAACTAGAGTTAGAAATATGTAAATTAAATCAGTTTTTGATTCCTCCACGGTTTCTGCACAGTAGGCTGATATTTTTGAAGTCAAATTATATCATAAATTTTCGTATTCAAAAAATTCTTAAAATTACAAAAAATTATCGGAAGTAGGTACTGATGATTGTACTTCACAATGTTGGAACAAATGACATAATTTTTTAGAAATGTCTCTCCTATTTTTCCCCACTTTTCCTGGATTGTAACTTTTGTGGTCATCATCAAATACTTTTTTTTTGAAGAAAAACCGACCAAGCAGAACTTCTACTGTTCGGGTGACAAAGACCTAATTTTGTTTGAAATATTATTTACGCAATTTTTTTAAAGAGAACCGACCATTAAATGCTTTATAGAAATCAAGAAAATTGTTACATTAGCTCATAAATAGCATTGTTTGGAAACGATGATTTTCGTTTTTGGAGAAAAACGTGCGCTCAAGAGTTGTATCGGTGGTATCTCACACGGTCTGAACAGGTCCAGAAACGGCAGTTCGTATGTTAAGTCATTGGGGAGCAAGAAGGGCTATAGTTTTCGTTGTTTTACCCATGAGGTAGATAAGAAATCTTTTCAATTTTATACTGTGGCATCATGAAAACGTACACGCACTCTGAAAACAGCAAAAATGGTGAATATGATCCAGTTTTATTTATAATATTGATACCCTTATCATTTATTTATGTTACATAAATATTTAAACCGCTTCCAAAGGTATCGGATCTCAGATATTTTTAATGCGCTCTATTTTTGGTGAGCTTTAAATACGAATTGCCGTCAGAGTGACCCTTCATCTTCAATTTCGATCAGGAATCGAAATGTTGCCTGCTCTAATTGTTCTTACAGGTAGGGTATGATACTGCACTCGGTAAATGTGTCCCTTTTTACTAAAATGTTGGGAGACTATGTAAATAAATGAAGGGGCTCGGGTGTACACTCAGGGGGAACATCGCGAGATTCCACTGTGATTTCATTTTCTAATTTGTCTCTGCGCTTACCATTGCAGCAGTTAATCAATACTGCCAATGGGAATCGTTCCTCTGTGACAGGTGTGCTTATTAATTAGACGTAATATAATAACATTAATTCCAGAAAATGTGGGAATTTCCGTCGCAAGTTTTTCATTAAAAATCGTTAAAATAGCCAAGATTAGCAGAACCGGTAATTTATAGATCGAACCTTAAGAAAATGGAAATGTAATAGGCAATATGCAGTGGCGGGTTTAAATTTTTTGCGCCCCTAGGCACACCGAAACATGTGCGCCCCAAAATAATCTTTAAATTGTAATAAATTTTGAGATGCTAATAAAAATCATATTGTAACTTGAAACTTTTAAAACTAATATGAAAAGAAATACAGTATACCTAAGATTCAGTTTTCACACACGTCAAAACTTGCATTGTCGATTATTATTCTTACAGTTACAGTTTGTATAAACTATCTACCAATTCCAATTTATTTCATAATTTTAATTAAAAATTTTTGTCATTTGTAACTTGTTAGGGGACTTATTTTAAAACTTAATATGTTACCTATAGGGCAAAAAATGCCGCCTCTAGGGACGTGCCTAGTGTGTCTACATGTAAATCCACCACTGGCAATATGAATAAAGGTACGTAAACTGAAAAAAAAGTTTTTACCAAAACAGTTGCTTGGGGAAATAACAATTTCACTCTCCCGTTTGAAGCGTTTTAGCTCTTATGGTAAATTTGATCAGTGCCACATCGTGTCTTCTACAATACTGCAACTACAACTTATTATTCCTTGAAGAATACCGTCATACAAAGGCTATTTGTTAAGTTGATGATTTATACTTCTTTTGTATGTAGTTTTGATGTGACTTCCGCTCTAATGTAAAGGATATCAAACTTTCGATATATCTTTTACGCTATTTATAACAATTCAGGTTCTTGAACCGGATTTTTTGAAATGACAGGTTCTAATTTAAGCGAAAGAATTGGAAAATTCCAGAGTCATCACGCTTAAATTGTTTAAATTATTTATCTAAGCGTCTTTACATGATAGGGCATGGTTGTATCGTTTTGAGGTAAATTTATTTTCATACGTTTCTTTTTATGTTACGCCATACGTTGTAATTTAATTACTTATCTTTCTTTTACCTATATTGCAAACCGAAATCCATTTATTAATGGGTTACGTAAGTTTGCATTAATTGGAATTTGGTGTTCTTGAGGTTCGCAGATATCACTATAGGAAATTTTATACGTGTACCGCTTCATACTGAAAGAGAACGAAATTAAAATGCTATAGAATGAAAAGAGCGTGCAAGCAGAAAGACTCAGAACGCCGGTTCTAAAGATCGTCCAGCTCGAGTCCGTTTCGGTTTTTTGACTCGATGACTATATTAAAAAAGACTGTGTTAGGAGAGATTCTTCGCTGAACCTTCAAGGCGATCCTAGGCTTTTCTTTTTTTAAAGTCTTCAT